TCAAATCAATTTTTGGGGTCGTTGAAAAGTCGAAAGTAAAAGAAATGTGGAACAGAGGAAGTATCGTGTACTGTACTTCCTCTGTTCCAGATTATTGGCGACATTTCTCAACTCAGCGACCCCAAAAAATCATTTTTACTCCAAAATCAATGTGCCATATCACGTTTGAAAGACAATCAAACACGAGAGGAGGTCGGCATTGACTGGACAAGGCGGAGACGAAGTTTTCGCGCCCAAATTTGATTTCGCCATGGTCTAAAAAAATAGAATGAAATCATTGGTTTTAATTTCAAAATTACGGGACCGCGAGCATCACTACCATGGATTTTCTGCGCACCGGACGCGAGCTCTCGTATGAGACCAAAATCGAGGTCATCACCCGCCTCCTATGACTCGCCGAGATGGGCAAGTTAGCGCGGTGCCATCAAATCAACTGCAACCGAGACGTACCTGCACCGAACCACAGTGTCCAAAATCTGGGAAGCGTTCCGGCACAACGCTCGCATGCCGTCATCGAAGAGGGGACGCGTCAGAACCAAGTTGTCATACACCACCGAACATGTCATGAACCTCGTCAGCGGCGTCCCCGAAAACCACGGATCCACGATTCGAGACATATCTGTAGCAACCTGTCTCTCAATCGGCACAAACCACCGCAAGCTCCGCGTCGGCACGATTGAGCGCCGATGATCCCGTTTCAAACCGCTCCTGACCGATGACAACATTCGTGAGCGCATAACATTTTGCCGCTCGAACGTGCTCGCGGTTACCGCCGGCGAAGCCGGTTTTCCCGAAACCCCGCTCTTAGCAAACACCCACCAGTTCGACGGCATGTGGGGCGTTGTGCATCTTGATGAGAAATGGTTCAATGCCTACAAGGATCGCCAAAAAGTGCACCTTGTGAAAGGCCAGACAATCGGTCGACGAACATCGAAGAGCAAGCGGTTCATCGCGAAAGTCATGTTTTTGGCGGCGGTCTCGCATCCACGATTCGATTGTGAGCGAGGAGTCATGTTTGATGGAAAGTTCGGGATGTGGCCCATTGCGAAGCGCGTACCTGCCGCACGCAACTCCCGCAACCGTCCTGCTGGCACGCTTGTGACTACAGTGGTGAACGTTGATGCTGCTGTGTGTTGTGACTTTGTGATGACTCGAGTCATACCAGCAAACAAGGCCCGAATCCCAAGTTCCAACAAGCGTATTGTTCTTCAGCACGACAACGCCACGCCACACCGATCCATCGCCAACGACGCCCTGGCGAGCATTTCTACGGACGGATCGACATTTTTGCTGCGGCGCCAACCGTCCAGCACCCTGATCTCAATGTTCTAGAACTGGGCTTCTTCGCATCGATCCAGTCGCTACAATCCAAGGTTGTGAGTCGATCGGTCGATGGCGTGATTAGCTTGACCTTGGCGGCATTCCTAGCGCTCTGCTCAGAGAAGCTCGGGAACGTGTTCCTCGCCTTCCAGGCCGTCATGCGCCTTGTGCTGGAGCACAATGGTGACAACCGCTTTCGCTTACCTCATCTGAAGAAGGACACTATGCGACGCGCCGGGACCCTCATGACAAATGTAACTTGCCCTGTGTCCCTTTTGGACTAACGTTACCAGTGAGGTTTCTAACCAATAAAATGCATTGATTTCATTTTGAGCCAATAGTAGAGAAATGTCGCCAGTATTCTGGAAAATGTGAGTTTTTCACATGTCGCCAGTAATCTGGAACAGAGGAAGTATTGCATGTAACGACGGAAAAATTCACCCAGTGGTACTCCTTCGTATTTTTGAAATTATAATATGGGCATGGCATTCTGAATACTCGAGCAAAATCCTAATATTCTAGCCAATGGTTAATATTTTTGGCCACGAC